TTTGAGACGGCGTATTATGTTGGACTGATGTAATTTCTGAGGATGTCTCACAGTTCTTTATCCTTTATCCTGTCGCATAACTCGCGCGAGTTAGAATTCCACTTTCCCAGATTAAATCCTCCTTCAGCCATCATGCTCTTAGATGTGTGATGAATCTGGTAACCGCCCTCTACAGTATCTGCTCCAGAGACGAGATCGTCGACGTACAATACAGCGAATTCTCCAATAACTCGGCCATTTCTGTCTCACTCTGCTTGTACAATCCAAGTTGGTGACGGATAGAGGGTCGTAGTCCAAAGACAAGGCGATTGAATCTGAGCTGAATGATTTCGGGACACCGGGCCGTCGGATCTTTGAACCATAGAAAGCGAAGCATGTCATGATCTTCCTCCTTGATTCCTACTATCAAGAAAGCCTTTTCTATATCGGCAGTATGTCCCACTTGGTTTAATCTAAACTTGGCAAGCATATCGAAGGTAAGTGGAATGTGATTAGTTCCAATCTCGAGACAATCATTAAGAGACGTCATTTTCCGACTTTGCAGACCCATCATATATACGATTCGTATACCAAGGCCTGATTCGTACTTTGGTGATATTACGCTCCTTTCTGACCACAGCATGATGCGGGGAAAAATGAACTGACCTTTCGTTTTGATCAGTCGAACAGTTCGATTCTGGAACCTTTTCAACAATACTGTTTTGAAGCTGTTGTTGCATTATCTTGTCGTACTCCTGAAGCAATTCAGGCTCCCCTTTCAATTTGCGATGTAGTGATTGCAGTCGTAATTCGAACATCCGACAATTGCTTGATGTTGGAACAGAATTCTCAGTCCGACCTCGTAAAATCGACCGTTGAAAGATCTTCGTCTTGAGTGGTTTTTGTGTAGATTTTAATTTCCCTTCTAAAAGAAACCGATTTAATACATCTAACCTTTAAGTTTTCGCTCGTTCTTCGCTACCTGTAATTGTGCCATTAATTTCAGTTTCACTCAAAATTTCGTTGACATCGTTTACTTTCAGTTTATAATAACACCACGATTCCCAGCACGAATTGCCTTAAGTCGCTCGAGTTTAATTGTCTTTATCCGACATCGTATACCGTTTTATCTATAATATTTTCGTCTCGAATATCGTCGTATTTTGCCCTTAAAATCCTTTATTTTGTGTGATCGGGCCAAACGTTGGGCGCCATGTAATTAACATCGTCTTGAATTGCTTTTTAGTATTTACCAGTATAAATATAACAAAAAATCCAAAAACATAGCTTATTTTCAAAAACAAGTAAAATCACGTAAGCGCAGTTAAATTACTGTCCACGTAATAACAAATTAAAAAACAAAATCTCAATGTTTTCCACAATGGTTGATTGATTTCGTTTGTACCATTTTTATTATTTACGCTAACGCCGTCGCCAA